GTCTCTTTTTACTAATGTTGAATCGTTTTGCTATTGGAACCGGGATTTGGATAGGAAAATTCCGATAGCTTCTTGGGTTTCCGGTTGTCCAGATGATACGAGGATTAAACCCGAGTGGAACATCTCGAAGATTTGTCTCCCGTTTACCTCTACACATGGGTACCTTTACTGTACTGGCTTACTAGTACATGGAACGTCATGAAGCCGCCAAGGATCAACAGTTAATGTCAAGAATTAGCTATTCGTGCTATGAAACCTTCATCGGCCAACTTCCCCTGAGACAAGCTGAGCAGCCAGAGAAGAAATAAAAAGCAAACTATTGTGAGACGGAAACCTGCGGCAGACAGATACTGAAACCATTGAAAGCAGATTACCGGTGTCCGACGGGATGGAGTAGGTGATAAGGGATAGCCCGGATGGTAGGTAGGTACTCCCATTACACCAATCCACGACCACCCCATCCAACACGTCGTCGTCGAACGCACCCGACCTTAGCAACCGGCGTTGGCAACGACAACGCGCCAGTTACCCTCCATGAGAACCGATCCGGCAACCTTATCGTCCACGGAGCAAAGCTCGACAACCTGCTTGGCCGCATCGGCAATCTGCTTGTAGCTGTCGAGTTCCAGCTCGTAGTTGTTCTGTTTTGTCAAGAGTGTTAGTTGATTTGCAGTTGTCCATGCGTGTCGGGCAGTTAGTCAGTCAACCAAAACTTACCATGTTGCACCAATAGATGGCAGCACCATAACTGCAACTAACCCTACCGCAGTTGGCATAGGGTCCATCACCACTGAAGGGCTGGTTCTTGGGCTTGCCGTCGATAATTCCGGCAAGGGTGATGATACCCTGCTCGATGCGCTTCTTGGAGCAGTAAAGGTAGACGTGGGTTTGTAACAGGACACGAGACTGGGAAGCTGTAACTCACTTGGAGGATCGACACCATGACGACTATGAAAAGGGTGGTTAGCTTTTGGGAAAGCATTGTCGCGGTAAAGTGATGAGATCGATATTGTTGGTGGTCGGTCTTGATCCAGAGATGGTCTGGCGAGTTGGGTCTAGAAAATTATGGTTTGGAAATGGAAATGGAAGCCTACCTTTATACCTCCAAAATTCAATGAAGCAGGCCTGCGAACCTTGAGAACCCACTAGGTTAGGTAATCATGCTGCCGTGAAGGGCTCATGCTGCTGTGAAGGGTGATGATTCCGGACTAAAGGGTTGTGAATGGCATGAAGGTTCTGAAGAAGGCCCCTGCGGCGACGTCCCGTGGTGAAGTGTAGTATATTTTGCCCTTCACCCACGCCTGGGACACATCAAGAGGTGTGAATGTTAGTTCACGATATGTTGGCGCTATCCGTGGCGGTTGAGCCGTGAATGGCATTCACGGCTCCCATTCACGGCTCGCTGGTCGACATCAATATCTTTTACACTTAACGCACACGGCTTCTGTCCATCCCCAATACTCCTCCCCGAGGTCGCGAAAGTTGATATAGTGCATCCAGCATGACGACCGGATGAGGAACAGTTACCGGTCTGCAACTGTCAACCCAGTCACCGTTGTCCCGACAGCACTCCTCCATTTCGTCTTAAACTGATCACAATTCTCACCACTAACATATACACCCCAGTCAGGTGCATGGTACGATATCTGCTCTGCCATCATACTGCCACTGAGTTCCCCATACTCATGATAATTTGCGCCGCTTATGATAAGTGGTTTAGTGAACTGTATGCACTTCAGAGGTTCAGCATACCTAGGTATGGATCTCCATTTCCTCGCTCGCTTGAGGTTAAGCCACTTGATCCGTATATTGTGACTTATGGCCAGACTTCCGTACTGTCCACGGCATAATGCAACGGTTTACCGCTCTCCGCGCCGTACCAAGCTCTCTCGCGCAATGTGCGGGCCAAGTTTTGACTTTCCCTCCAGAACGGTTGAGCCGTCTAAACCGCACCTATACGGACTGGATCCCACCCGTGCTTTCAAGACGGTGTTTCTAGCGGCCGTAGGAGGCTTGGTGGCAACTCTTGGGCAATGGCGGAGAACGAAGCTCGATGAAGGCATGATCGGTATGGGTATGGGTGTTGCTGTCCGCAGCGAGGATATAGATTGCACGTAGCTATGAAATGATCCGCGAACGGTTATCTCTAGACGTGGTTTGTCTTCAAGCTGAATGGAAGGAAAGGAGTCAAAACAGGAATAAGTAACGACATATGGCAGAGCCTATTCATGCCATAGTATTCGGTTCGTTATAGATGACCAGGTAGATAGGGTTCGTGCGATTCACGGTTTTGTGACAGTGTACGGCCGGGTTATGAAGACGACAAAGGGAAAATGTGGTTCAAAGGAAGCAGACGCGCACTGTATAAATCATTAGCTGGCTTTGTTTTACCGCTCAGATTAGGGATAGGATCAATAAAACAGGAACGATTCGATTCCTCGGAAAACAAACAAGTCCTCCTACATAGGAAATGACCCTTGTGGTACTGTGAAAAGAGTGAAATAGTGAAATACTTGTAGGCGTGCAATAAAAAAGATCCCTTGAAATGTGCATTTAGACACTTGTCCACCCACCCTAATTACTCCTGAAGGAAGCTCTCCGATACTGGCCGTGATCTTAGGAAAGACCCGAAATGATATCTCGTCCGCTGCTGAGACCACGAAAGTTAACATGGTGCAAAATGACTGACGCAAAGAAAGCATTGCGCGGCAAGCATTAGTGGGTCAGGGTATCGAGTGCTAGTAATATATCAGCTCCTCGAAGTCCAGTGTAGCAACACCCAACCACCACGGCCTTGAAATCCACTTACGCGGTAACAGTAAGACAGACCAGATGGGGATCGGGGTAAACAAAGACACAGGCAGACCCGGGAGGAAAGAGAAAAATCCTTGACCTGATCAACTTGTCCACTGTATTACTCAAGAAAGTCCTTCGTCTGCTTTTCTAGAACCGGCTCCAAACACGCTTTGTAGGTGGGTATATCTCTCTTGCCCACATTCGGCGCCTCCTCCACTGCTTGAAACTCCACGTTTAATCCAACGCCATCCTCCAAAGACCATCACCAAGGAAATGCGCCTCCTCGATAACCGGTCCCTTACCCTTCTCCTTAATCTCCTTAGTCCCCGCAACCAGCACTCCAACAGCGCACGCTTCCTCCTTGCCTTCAGCAACGACAACAACCGGCTCGCCCTTCTCCAGCTCGCGACTCCAGTGTCCCTCCTCATCCGCACCCTCGTTAGGCACCTCGATATCGTCCGCGTTCTCGGTCTCAGCAGCGCTCTTCTCCCTCGGTGGCCTCTCATGCGGCATCGGCAGACGCCCACCCTTACTCGTCAAACCGGGGGCCATCAGGGTGGCGCCCGACAGGACGAAACGGATGGCGCCGCGGTCTATCCTGATGGTGGGGAAGCATTGCGGGAAGCGGTGGACGAGCTTGAGATGGGGCACGATGGTGTTTTGTTGCGAAGGGGTGTCGGCCTGGAAGAACAGCGGGGTGGTGCTGTCAATGACATACAGGGAGACGCGGTCGGGAAGCTTGATCTGCTCGAGCGAGGCCTTCTTGGGGATGATGTCGTCGATGAAAGGCGTCAGGAGCGGGTAGGTGGTCAAGAGTGACTGGCGCAGGTTGCGCTGGATCGAGGATTTGAGCTTTTGTTTGGGCGAGGGGGTAATGCTGTTGGAGAGAAGGGTTAGCGGGTGTTAAAGAGATGTTGCGGTGGCGGGTAGGCAGTAGAGCAGCATTGGTTAGGGACCAGGAAAGGGAAGGGTAGAAGCAGGTGAGTTTGGAACAGTGGATGTCATACTCCTTCTTGAACATGTTGGCGGTATTTGCGACTTCGCAGTTTTGAAAGATTAAGTGTTTGTAATATATGAGAACTGTATATCGGGGTCCGTAATCGTGGTATTGGACCGTGGCGCTGTGGTTCTGTTGGAATTGAAATGGACAAAGGAGCTCCGCGGTGGAATCAATGGAACTGGCGACTTGTCGCGACGGGCGATTGATGGCGGGGGAGGGGAAGAAGTCGAAGGTGGGGCCTCGAACTCGGCTTGCCAAGACTCCCTTGCTGGGATCTGTGCAGCAGACAAGTTACAACAGCCGCGCAAAAGCTGCCGGAGACTAGGGTGTCGTCATAGCGGAGCCGATAGAGGGACGGTCAACGACGATAAGGGCCAGCCTTTCTACGAGTAGAAGGGGTTGACATGGGGTCTCCGGGGCAACCGATTTATCAACAGCCGTCAAGGTGCTCATTAGAAGACAAAACAAAGGCATGGTAGAGTGTTATATGTAAATTCATCGCAGTCGTAAAACACAGCGCCATGCTGGTATCTCCAATCCTCAATAAACTTCCAAAGTCATGTCATCATGTCCTGAAGACTGATATAGCCGTCTCTGTCACCGTCACCGCTCTTTGTCCCTCTCTAACCGTGGACAACATGGCTGACCTTTCCATCCTCGCCAACATGTACGTTGAGACGGTCAGGGTTGAAATCCTTGGTAACCATCGTACCCGGCTCGATGATGCGTGTTGGCTGTGGGAGATCGGACTTGCAGAAGGTCTGAGAAAAAAAGAAAGAGTCAGCTTTACTTGTCCTCAAAACACGCATCTCGGTGAGAGGGTGGTCTTACAGTCTCCGAAGTGTGATCAGCGAGCGTCTTGCCGCACAACTTGTTCATCCACTCCTCCGTCTTAGCGACCGCGGGGTCGTTGGTGGTGACGCCGGGAACAACGAGAGGCATATTGTTGGATGTTCGTAGTGTCAAAATTGAATATGGTGTTTTGTTTGAAGGTAGTGTTTTGAGTGGTTTTAACGCGCAAATGTCTTGGGCTTAACGTGAGATGTTGTTGTTGTTGTTGTTGTCTTCGCTATGGTGGCTCTTCTTATAAGAGACCCTCACACTTCCCCTCAGTGCGCTGGAAGCCAAGGCGATGACGTAGCACCGTTAATGCTTATCGCTAATTACCGTTGCATTGAATCTGCTAAGCCACGTTGGGTCACGGGTTCATGTGAGGCTTGCGGTTGGTTTGACCAGAAAACAGAAAGCTGTTTGCCCATCCAAGAAATCTTGATTTCACAAGGAAATGGGTTAACATTCAGTGAAACTTTCTACGTGCCAGTGAAATGGCAATGGGTCACTCGACCTGCTGTTACGCGGTTATCCTTCGGTGCCCAAATCTTGCAGCAATCCAGCTAAGGACCCATCTCATTCATCAACCACTCGTTCTCGAGTCCAATAACCCGTCAACCAAACAAGCAACTGCGGACGATGAAGAAGAGGAAGGATCGCGAGGCGTTGGTATGGGCTTCAAAGGTCCTGCCGCCGCTGCAGCTACAGGCGGTCAAGGACTGGGATGGGTACCGCCGACACAACAGCAGAAAGAGAAGAGTGCGGGGGCGAGAAACAAAGATGAAATAGCGAGCGGCGGGCTTTCTCTCTATCACGTCGAGGAGAAGAAAGAGGAGCTTTCAAAGGAAGGAACAAGAATAATTTGGGAACAAAATATAGGAAATGATCTCAACGGAGTCGACGGAGGACTGATGGGTTTGAAACAAACCGTAAAAGGCAAGGGAATGAATGAATGAATGGGAAGGCGGAAGTGGAAGCACTTGTCGAGGCTGCGGTGCGGTGCTACCTCTACCTAGGTCTGAAGCCGCCGAAGGTCGTTGCGGTACCCGTCAATCTCCTGTGTTCCTGTCAGTAACGCAATGTAGGCCAAGCTATTGGGGCCTAGATGTTCTGTGACTGCGGATCTGTCTGAAGGGTGAGGAGACTCCGGGGGAGTGACGTCGTCGCCCGAGGAAGAAGAAGTGTTGCCTTCCGTGGATGGTGTCAACAAGTGCCCGTTGCTTTCGTCGGAGCTGGTGTTCATCATATCGTCGGGGCGGCAGCGGCGACAGCGGCGACAGCGGCGACAGCGGCAGTTGGGGTTGGCTCCCAAGTTGGTGAGAAGAGGGGGTTGCTTGGTTGTGGTGGCAAGGGGGGAAGCAGCAGATTCTCTGCTGTGTTTGTTGACTCTTCGCCCCCTCGATCGATTGTTGACTCTCCGGTGGGTTTGAGTTCTTAGGGGACCGCCTTCGGAGTTTCCTCTTTTCTTTCTTCTTCAATTTCCGTGCTGCTTTGGGGTCCTCTTGCTCTTGCTGCTTTGGCTTCTTTTCTTCTTCTTCTTCCTGCTTCCGCTTCTTCTTCTGCTCCTCCCTTTTCAACCTCGCCTCTTCCGCCTCCTGGCGCTGTCTCTCCAGCAGCGCCTCTCTTTTCTGTTCTTTTCGAGCCAGGGTTTCCCGGTTGCGCTTCTGTTGTTCTTCGAGATTCCTTTGCCTGTCGGCCTCCCTCGCCGCTTCCTCGGCCTTTCTCTTCCGTTCGGCTTCTTCTCTCTGAAGCGTCGTCTTGGCCTTCTGCTCCTTCCGGAGTTGTTTTTTCTCCTCGGACCCCTTGCGTTTCTCCTCGTTTGCACATTTCACGCAAGGGTGATACGCCCCGTGATGACCCTTCCGGCCGTGGATCTTGCAGGGCGTCCAATGTCCCTTTTTGAGGCAGGTTAGATCGCCCACGGCGCCGCACTGCGGGCTGTTCAACAAAATATTTCGTTAGCAGCGGGGATCCTCCAGCGGTCCGGAACGAGGTGAGTGTGGAAGTGCATGGACGCGGCTATCGTGAAAATCTGGATCTTGTGAGATCGAATCCCCCGAAAAATTGCTGATAACTAAGGGCGTGTTCGTTAAGGCAGTAAGTAGCACAGTGACAGAAGCCTTTTTCTGGTGGCCGAAACCCCTTTGGGTTAGGGACAGAAGAGCTTCTCTTACTGCACTACTGCCGGAACGAACACGGCCTAAGCCGCCATCTTAGCACAGGATATGTTGGGGGTTGGACTCACCAGTGATGCACCGGCTTTTTGGAAGGCATTGCGCGATGTTCGTATTCTCCCAACGTGTGCCAATGCAAGTGATGGTCGGCTGGCTGGCTCTACTCCCAGGGGAATCTGTCGGGTCGTTGATGTTGGCCCCTTTGGCTGTTGATAGCAAAGGTGATAGACGGAGTTTGACGGTTGGTGACTGGTCGGCTGGGCTCAGGAGTCGATGGACGACCAGTGTGTAGGTATTTGACCGACCTTGTCAACGGTGGAGGGAACGGGTGTCGCCTGGAGGTTGCTGGTCGGCGGGTAGAGGGCTCCGGAGTCGATGGGTGTCCCTGATATGGTTGAGTGATGACGGGCGGCTGGTCGATCGTTGACGTTTTCTCATGTAGGAAAATTTCCGCTCGAGATTGAAGGCTGGCAAAATCAAGAGAGATGCTTTTCCGCGTGCTGTGAAGAAAAAAAAGCTGTTTGAGGTTAGAAGATCAGCAGTTAGGCGTCCAGAGGAGCAGCCATTTTCGTGTGGAAGCACTTTGTTTCTCAAGGTTTGAAGGTTGGAAATACCTACCTCTAGGTAAGTGAATGGCTTTTCCGTAAGAGTTGCTTTTCCGGATGCTGAGAAGGAATGTTTGAGGTTGAAGGATTGGAAAAATCAGAAAATGTCACGTTTGGAAAAACCAAGGGGAGAGTATCGAATAATCTCGAAAAATCCGGCTTTATAAATCTCCCTTTTGGAGGCAGGACAGGGCAGCACAGGGCACACGCAAAGCCCAGTCAGCCAGCATACACCAGCAGATGTACCTATCCCGTTAGTAATGACTTGAGGATAATATTTATGTTTATAACCTGCGTGCGTATATAATTACCGGGTATACTCTATACAGACCCTAACCCCTCCTGCCATCGAAAGGGTATTTTACAAGGCCGAATTTCCCGATATTATTCAGTACTCGCGGATGAGAACTGGGGGGAAGATCGGGGGCTGAGTAGCTGGGTCAGGTATATGCGCAAGCCATGTACATATGCAGTCCTCGGTTTTCAATCATTATTATACGTCCGATACGATTCTTTTTTTTTTTGTGAATCCTGGCCTTGAAAATCATTGCCAGACGCTGTTCATGCGCTTCCGCCGTTCCGGGTTTCCTGTTTCCTTTACTTCTTTTCAAGTTTACACTTTCTCTAATGGACACGTTGTATATGGAGGTGTCCTCATACCTATACTGAATGCATATTTTCCCCTGCATATATGCTTGCGCATCTACAGTTGGTGCAAGCTGTTGCTCTCGGAGGTGCGCATGTCAGATAGACATAATGACCGTAGGATCATCATCCTTGGCCGGATGGCATATATGGTCCAGCCAAGGACTATTGAGATGCATGACATAACGAACCGTCCGTCAATATACCTTCCCCCTCCTCACATTGTCCACGGGCGTCTCTGCGGCCTCCCTCGAAAAAGAATCGCATCAGAAGCTGTCCGGAAATATGCGTTTCTGATACCGCTCCCCCATGAAATGGTCAATACAAGGCCCGCGGCCTCCGCTCCAGCTCAATGGGGCGGTTCAGGTGCATTGCATGCATGTATGTGGAAAGGAACACCAGGGCTATCGCTCCTTCGAATCCCATAGGGGCAAATATCTAAATGGGGAAATTTGTCAGTGCAGTTACCAAAGAAGCAGAGAAAAGTGGATATGACTGCTGCCTGGTTCACAAGTTGATGCACAAGTTTGGCGTGAGCTCCGGTCAAGGAACGTGCCGTGAATTCTCGATGGAACGACCTACGTACTTATGCCCCCAAAATATCAGAGTTAAACGAAAAAAGGGAGGTCTCGAACTCAAAGGGTTATCCTGGTGAGTTTCAACTTCCACTCATGTTGTTTGTCGAGGAGAAGGAGGAAGGAACTGCTGAGCCTGGCGAGACGCGGTTTTTTTTTGGCGGCGCAATGAGTTTTGTACGTGAGTGGCAGTGACGGGCAAGATCCTTCCTGACTTCCAGCCTCTGGCACTGCTGTCAACACAATCTGTGGCCCTTTTTTCCTGCTTTAACTAAGAACCTGAGCCAACTTGTGTGAGCCCCGATTTCGAAGTATACAAGAATTTCAACACATGCAAAGGAGGGTTCGAAGTCAGTTTGGCGCCAACCGACTCAATTCGCCAGGGCAAAGAACTTGCCAAATCCGGTTGTATAAAGCGATCACGCCAACTTTAAGCCAGGAAAATAATTGAATTGATATGTCAGAACCCCTGCGAAGCTTCACTAAAGGAGGCACATCCAAAGCCACGAAGTACCTGAACAGTAAATATTGCCTCACGAACCTGAGGGACAGACACTTCCCCTGAGCCCAAGCCGTTGCTTGCGGCATCCGCCACCACCGGGATTTTTTCTGTAGGCGGTGGCCGTGAGTAGAAGTCTAGAACCATTTCCACCGTCCGTGTTCGTGTGTACAACCCTGCATACCCCCACGGTTTTAGGTGGGAAGGAAGAATCCGAGCATCAGCCTCCTCGGATAATTCGATCCCAAAGCGGTTGTAGCGTGGTCTGGGGTAAGCTAACATCTACTCAGTACCAGACTTTGAAGAAACTGGGGTAAACTTATAAGGACGACAGATTCTGGCCTAAGGACTAACGAATACCGGGGTGTTGTTGAGGGTTTCGCGAAACGCTGTACAACCGGACTTGATGATACCGAACGAAGTGTCAATCAAGGGGGACCGGACGGCATTGATACAACGATCAATCCCACAAAGGAGATATCGAACGACCACTTTTCGGCGTGAGTCCTCTTGACTAACATCATTGATGAGTGCTATTGTTTTATCTCGGGATCCTCAAAAGCAGAAAGCTCAACGAAGAAGACATGCACTCATCACTTAACTCATAGGATTGCATTATATTAACCTCGTGATCACTCGAGTCCGAGCTCAAAGCTTAGATCCTTTCTGTTCCGAAGACAAAAAAACCGTTTGTAAAAGATCGTGAGAGTTTTCGTCACGTCAAGTGGCGTAGTCGTTGTCAAAAATCGCCCAAAAAGATGATACCCCCACAAGGCTCCCGCCGCATACGGAATCATTTTGCTGAGAAGCACGTCGTCGCCTTAGGAGGCGTCAAATTACGATATTGAACCAGACACTTGCGGAGTTTGGTAACACAAGGCTCAGTCAATATGTAACCATTCCACGTTCCGAGAAGGATTCAACACCAAGGCCAAGACTGTAATGTGATGAACGACTTTACCTCGCAAGATTGATCTTTACAAGAGGATATGTCACCTCATTACGTACAAGTTGGTATCATGACTGCCTTCAGCACGAGCGAGTTAGAGGTCGACGATGACGGTGACGGCATCCACGCCATCACTAGCGCAGCCAAATCCGAAGTCAATAATCAGAGGGCCAGAAAAAGGGACAATGCGACGAAGAGAAGCTCACAGGGAGAAGAAAAAAAGTATAAGTAGGCGGCCTTTCTCACGCCTCCGCAGAAACAAACCTTCTCATCATCCAGCACAGCATCCAACAGAAGCAGCAAGGATACCAAAACAACAACCAGAATCAAAACACCAAAACCCCCAATCATAACAATGAAGTTCACCACCACCCTCGCCGGCCTCGCCGCCCTTTTCGCCAGCGCTGCTCCAGCCTCTGCCCAGCATGCCACTTCGGCCACCGTGACTGGCTTCTCTGCCACTCGTAACGCGACCCATATCAAGTAGGTTCCCAGCCTTCTCCCAGTGTCCTCCTGCTCACTCTTCCCCTTTCCCATCAATCCCTTAGCCCCTTCTTCATAAACCCCTTCCTCATACCCCCTCTCTGCTCTCCCTCCCCGTTACCCGCCCTCCTCCAAACTCATGCATCCCTGACTAACACCCCATCCTCACCCAGCTACCGCGCCACAATCAACGTCCTCCCCGAAAACGCTCTCGCAAGCTTCACCCACGCCACCGTGGGACTCACACTGCCCACCAGTAGCGGCGCCTGGACCTCCACCGACCCCAAGCTCGTGCTGCGCTTCAACGTGTTCACCGGCACCGATCAGGTGCGCGTCCTGCTGAGCGACACGCACGTTGTTGCGAACACGGTCAACCTGGATTACTTCTCTACGTACTCTACCGATTGGGTGCCCACCGGAGCGGCCGGGAGTGCGGCTTATACTGGGCCTAGTGCTTTTACGCTTGCTTAAGAACTTTGAGAGAGAGAGAGAGAGAGAGAGAGTTAACTTGGGTGCTTGGTGAGAGGATGGTGACGATAGGATTGGCTTTTTGGCTTTTGCGAACATGGAAGGTGGAATGGGGGTTTCGACACGGGGAAACATTAGGAAGTCGCGATTAAGTGTTAACTGGTAGTTCTATGTAAGGAAGGAAGCAACGATGGGAATAGTGAATCTACCTTTGAGTTATCGAGACAAAGAGTTTGAGAAAATGTCAAAAAAATGCCTTTTAGGGTACCAAAAACCCCTGAGTTCGGCTGATACTCGTTCCAAGTGAGTTTATTTGACGTTATATGTGCCCATCTTGATGCTTTGTCTTGTGTAAGTAAAATCCCTTTCCTCCCAAACTCGGCTTGGGCCACGGGAGCGATCATGACCCACCACAACCACATCGCCGATGACAGCTACCAAAGACACTCGTCGATATCTCCCCCTAACAAACTCCAAACTCTGAAATTTGTAGCAGATTCAATAATTCTTAATGCATATGTAATGCTCCAAGTCTCATACATGCTTCTTTGCCTAAGGCATATTTTTCTGGTTCATATCTGAGCTGCATATCGTTGCCCATGGTCAGTCACGGATGAGATGCATGCATCAAGACATCCGGATCTGCATCGAGTAGGCATTTAAATGACGGGTAGACAGTAGAATATTTCCTTACACTACTGCATATTTGAGTTTTGCTTTTCCAATAAAACTGCGCAGACCGGTTTATGCAACTTGGTGCATCACAAGCCGTGTATTGTCACGGTGTTCATGTTGTCGCTCCTCGGCGGCGGCGAACGCTGGTAAACTCGACCGGTGTGGCAGGCATTGCTTCGCAGACGGACCATAAACATGCACCTATTTTGTATTAAAAAAAAAAAAAAAAAAAAGGACACAAGGAAAGATGCAATGCAATGCAATAATATGCAGTCCATCCACCATGCATGGAGGCTCTGTACCGGTCACGGTATGCGGTTCGCCAAACAAAACCCTGATCTGATGCATGGAATCGTCACCGACGAACCACCTCGGGCTGACCTGGTATCCAAATCCCGACACAAGCGTCTGCGGATTCTGCTAGCTTTGAAGAGCGAGAGTTGGCCAGATATTCCACAAAAAACCTGGCTTCTTTGAATCAATGAATGCGCAAAATCACTGGACATTTGTGACCACCTCTATCAGGAACAGGTCTTGCATCCCAAAGCGCCGATGCCAGTAAACACGCACGTTTCGCCGAGAATCACACCACATGAACAGAGGGAGGCTCTTGGAGATTATGGAAGTTTGAACATGCTAATATGATGAATGAGGAATTTTAACGAGACTAGACAGCAGCTCTTCCTCCAGCCCGGCGGCGACGGTTTCTGAATAAAGCCGAAAAGTCCGCCGGACTCGGTAAAGGCAAACGCTACCGTCCTCGACCATTCCATCCCATCCACTCTTTATCCTTCTTTCTACCTACGCAAGACAAATGCATCCAACTAACCAGCAGCCACCGCTAACAGCAACAAAGGGATTTCTAGAGCCTCGCTGTCCCCCATTTAACCCCCCTCTTGTCTATTCTAACAAACACCGACGTCAACAATAACCAACCCCAGCACCTCGACTCTCCCAACTCAACAATAGATGACCAAAGCATCCATCCGTCGAGTTTCATCCAACAACTCTTACCATCCCACCTCAACTCTCACAATACCATCAAAATGAATCACCAGATTACCTCAAAGCAGGGTGTCCCTCATTATGATCCGAGAAGGGATTCGGCGCACCGCCCGTGGGGCTTCCGCTACCCGAACCGCCCCTAACGCCCGCCGCGCCTCCATACCCAGTGTTACCAGCCATATGCGGCGGCGGGGCAGGGACATCATCATACTCGTTGTTGAGGGGGACACCCTGATACCCACCACTACCGCCAATATAACCCGCGTTCCCGCCCATGAGCGGCTGCTCGAGCATGTGCTCCTGCTCCTGCTGGTGCTGGTCGCTCGCAGGGGCGGCGGCAGCGCGCTTATTAGCGACCATGGCGCTGGTCTTGGCCTCCTTCGCGATCTTGGCCGCCTCGGCCGCGCTCTCGAGCTTCTTCATGGTGCGGCGCTCGCGGCAGCAGAAGAAGCACAGGCCACAGATGGACAGGGCGATGGTGGCGGCGAAGTAGATGGCCATGACGATTCCCGCAGTGTCGAGCCCGGACTGCTTGTACATGCAGCTGATGCCCTGGCCGTTCTCGTTGCGGCAGATCAAGCCCTCGACGCACACGTCCACGGGAACGCTGGTCTCGAAGCAGGGGAGTTTCTTGCCCGAGGCGGTGCCCGTGGATTGGGTGGGGCAGGACTGGACTTCCTTCTCGGACTTGGTCAGGCAGACAAGCGGCGACTTGGGCCGCTCGGTACCGGCGACGGGCGGGTTTCGGCGGCTTCATCGGTGCGGCGCAGCACGGCCGGAGCGGTGACCTTGGACATCATCAGGGCGACATCGGGCTCGACGGGGGCCGCGGTGACAGCGGCGCGCGCTTCGACGACAGGCTGGGCGGGGACGGGAATGCGCAGGCGGCCGGGGTGGTTGTAGATGCCCTTCTCGTTGAGGGAGCGAAGGCCGAGATGATGGTGCTCGTGGACGGCGGGGGCGGCGCAGCGCTTGGCGGCCTCGACGATCTGGCCGGGCGTTTCCTCCTTGTTGCAGCCGGAATCGATATAGCACTTTGTCAGGGTCTTGAGGAATTTCTCGTCGCCGGTCGACAGGTCGGTGGGAAACGTGGAGAAGTAGTGCTTGAGGGCGCCCTCGTCACCGCAGGCGGAATGGGCGGCCAGCTCGTAGCTGCGGGTGCGCAGGCATTCTAGGCTGGGAACCTCAGAGGCAGAGACCGGTGAGAAGAGGAGGAGGGTGAGGGAAGCCAAGGCGGCGAGGGATGAGTGTTTTGTTGGCGCCATCTTTCTTTCTGTTTTTCGTCCCGTCAGGCTGGTCGACTTGGCGGGCGGTCGGGCGGTCGTCGGTCGGGTCGGATCGAGCCGTGGCTTGCCTGCTTGCTTGCTTGCTTGCTTGCGTGTCGGAATGGGATCCGATCACAAGTTGTCGGATGGGCAGTAGCGGTGGAGCTGAATGTGCAACTGGAATGCACAAGGCGGGATCTTCAGGTCGGGTTTCCTGTTCCTGGATGGATTTGGTGAATATTTGCAGCGGGAACCTGTTGTGCGCCCGAGATACGAGATTTGGTGATCCCAGTAGGATGTGCGAGGTTGAGGAGTTTGGGGGGGAACTGAATGGGCGGCCTGGCACTCTGGTTTGTCGCCCCGGGTTTTGCAGTGTGTTTGGGGTGATGGCCGTTGGTCCAGGGATCGATCGGCACGTTGCAGGTACAGTAGAATGTCGTAAATATAGTGGAGTACAAGAGAAGAGACAAAAGCTGAAGACAACAGAAAAACAATCACAACAAAGTGAAGCTATCGCCGTCTTTCCCCTTCCTAGGATGAGTCGCAGGATGCTGATGAGGATGAATCAGGAATGTAAGCAGGAGAGGAATGGAAGGAAGCAGACGGCGGCAGTGTGTTTGAGAAATGGAAAAAAAGGTCAGCTTGGAGCCTTGAGCCATGTTTGAGCGAACCCCTGCAATTCCAGAGCGGCCGCCTCCTTTTTCGCTCCTTTTTTTCCCTTGGCCGTCGCCTCCCCGTCCCCCGTTCGGTTCTCGACTTGACAACGACGGGGACCCAGAGACCCGAAAAAGAACCAAACATTGCTTGACAGCGATGTCCCCAGTGGGCATCAGACACTTCTTCGTGACAGGCTGACAGCTTCTCTGCCGCAGCCAGCTAATGGGGATAAACGGAGACACGCTAAAATTGAACGATTCCCACTCACGGCTTAGGGCGGGCTGAAAATAGGAATTCCATAGAGGTAGGATCACAACAACCACCACCGGGCCACCACCAACACACTTTCACGATAGCATCCCCCTCGCATATTCAACAAGGCGTTGCACCGCCCAACGTCCGTAGGGTTCCCGCCCGCAGAGAAGCACAGCGTCCATGCCCTTGAACACCCCCCGCCGACCTCTTTGTCGCTGTCAGATTCAGATTCATATCTCCATGCCTCTCACATGGACAGGGATCCATCCCTCTTCTGGGGCTTTTGCTCTTCTCGCCTTTTGGGTCGCCTTGGTCGCCTGTGGTCCCAGCGAGATTGAAAAGAGGCTTGGCATGCGAGCTGAAGGTCCCCACCTGCACTCAGCTGCATCTGGCCAATCAGAGAAGCAGCGATGATGGACCCCTTTTGCCCAGCCTTTGGTACCGTTTTGGGAGGTTCCGTTTCACGGTGTTTACACTAGGTACTATCTCTTGCCATCTTCAGCAACAACATGGCACTTTGTAAAACAACGGCAAGTACACTACACTAGGTATCCGGAATATCAAGGTTCCCAGAATCAACAGTCCAGTCTTATTCCATCATCCATCACCCCCATTCAGCCAAACGCCAACGCCACTGGACCACGATCGCACAACGAGAAAGGGGAGCGAATCAGCTTGATCAAGCAGGACGAGCAACTGTGCCGCATCTCACTTGCATCTATCTGTACACTACATACCGTTCGCCGACTGCTTGCTTTGGGGCTGAAAAAGTGGGGGAGACCTAAAGTAGAGGATCTCCGTTATAGGTAAACAACTGTCCCGAATCTCTCAACGACAAAATGTAATAGCTAAATGACATATTCGGGGTAAGATTACGCATTGCTTATAGTACGAAACCAATCAGCTAAATATGAAAACGCCTATGGAGCTTGGCTCGAGGCCTCGAGTATAGTCCAATACTGGTTTGTTTATTAGCTCGAGACCTGTGGTCAACCTCCCCAGTTGTTTCGATATCTGTCTGATTAATCCGTGTTGTTCGGTAACCAAGGCGTAATTATCTTGTATATGCCATAATGATTTTCAGTAATGCCCGTCCAGTTCGTATCTAGCCATCTCGTTTCATCCTTGTGAGATCCAGTCCATTTTCTGACGTATCTCGTCCTGTGTATTATGCATATCAAGACTCAAACTCGATGTTTCAAAACCAGCAAATTTCACCTTACTTTGAATTGTACAGTAACCTTTCCTACCTACTTACGTAGCTGCCAGTTCGCTCCCATGTTCAACCAATTGTTATGCTGCTGAAAAAAGAAGAAGAAAAGAGATGATGCATACTTCAACTGCCATGTTCCTTACAAGTCACGCCTATCACTACTAAGTCGCTGATCCACCTATCCCCATAATCAAGTCAAATCCTTCCTATCCGTCTTAATCACCACCACGACGTTTTTCGTTGCGGACTCTTCCGCCGGCCTTGCTGATTGCTTGCACTACGAGTCACCCGCCTGAAAGGGTTGTCTGTCGCCGAAAGCGAGGGGACTGAAAATCTGCCAAACGAGAAAGCCTCTGGATTTTTGTATCCCTGAGCAGCAGGTGCAGGTGATCCCGAGGAAGCTCGCCAATTCCGCGAAGATGAGGTGCGGCCCTGATTCATGCCAGAAGAAAGATCGCCTGCATTGCTCTGTTCTTGAGCCCCAGGCGTAGTCGATGTCGAGGAAGGTCGCCGATTTGTCAAAGACGTGGTGTGGCCTGGATATTTTGAGAAGTTTGCTGGCCTATTACCAGATTGGGTAGCAGAAGATGACGGATGGCCCTGGTTTCTACCGAAAGGAATATCATCTTGATTGTTTTGTCCTTGAGCAGTAGGCGTAGTGAATCGTGAGGATTCCCAATGGTTACCATATGCCGAGGCAGTAGAATAACGCCCGTCTGCAACCGTTTCTGAACGCGACAACCGACGGGAAATCTGGTCACCACTGGACTGACTGCGGAACCGTGCTGAATCTGTACCCAGACCCGTGCATGTACTGGATCGCTCTCTTAAAGAAACGTAAATATCTTAGCACTACTTCAACTTCCGACGGTGCCTCTGATCGCCTTTCCGCATCCTGCCCCGGCGAATGCGATGTGTTATCTCCCTACGATCTGACATTAAATGAGCCTGAGCCAACGATCGGGCTGCCGATATCTCCGGGATGCTTAATAGGGCGGTATGGGGCCCGTGAAGCATCATCGTCCGGAACATAGCGAATGAGCGGGGTTCCAGTTGGCGACAAGGGCTCCCGCACAATAAAACTCCCACCGCCATTGGACGGGTTTCCTTCCGTATCGCAGATATCAAGAACTTCTTTCTCGTTCCCTGTATACTGCCCCTGCCTCATATGCACCATGATTTCCCCCAGCGGGATATACCCATCGTAACTCGAACTACCACCAGCACCGAGTTCCTCACATACAGCACAGAGCGCCTTGCGAAGTGTCACAGACCTCGGGGCAGAACGCTCTACGATGGATGGGTTTCGGCCAATGATTCCTGGGGTTGCCGCCTGACTCCACGGTCCGTGGTTTGGGAACCCTGGAGGTGTTTGTACGAATGGATTGTGTTGGAGTGAAGGACTCCAAGGGTTGTTCTGGTGTGCCAGTGGAAAACCGGGTTCCATCCCAAACGGTCCCGCACCAAACCCAGGGCCAGATCGAAGCCCGGGCGCAGACGTCCCAAGCAGACCAAAATGAGATCGGGCAGGGAAATCTTGCTGAGTGTCATCAGGCTCAAGAAGTGCACTGCTTCCGAGATGTACGTCTTGGTCCGCCTTATCGGTTCCGTTCGTTGAGGACTCTAGCGATCGTCGCTGGCCATGGACCACGCTGGCGGGTCTACCTATGGGCGTAGGCCGGCTGATGGGCTGACTAGAAGAGCCGACAAGCCCGGTTTCGAAGCTACCGGAGCCCTGACGAGCGTGAGACGGCACGCTATCTTTGCCTATCAGCGAGCTCAAGCCTGCAAAGCTTGACATAGGTGAATCCAAGGATCCGGGGAATCCAGATGATTGCATCGACATTGCCCGTTGCCCCAATGGCGTAGGAAAACCTGGTGGCGCAGGAAAACCTGGTGGGACATTCATCCCCGGTGCCACTCTGTTATAGCTGTTGGCGGGGTTATAGAAGGGAGGATACTGAGGCTGCATGTGATTGCTGAAACCAGGCGGGGGTTGAGGAGTTGGTTGGAATGGCATGTTCATCGAGGGACCACCGAATGGATTTGGCTGAGATTGAAGTGATTTGGGACCCAGGTTGACAATAGTCGAGGGGGTGGGTGACGGTAAATGCATCCCGCTGCTTTGTGTCCCGCCCACAGCAGTCCCGGGCTTGCTGGGTGGGTTCATGGGACCAGGACTAATATGTACTGGTGTCAAGGTGTGTGGAGAAGGGTTCTGGCTAGCGGCTGATCCCGGCTGAGATGTTGACCCTGAAGACGTTGTGACACTCTCTTGCTGGTGTGTTTGACGGCTATGAGCGGGGGCTGGCGCTTTTGGAAATGCTGGAGTGGCGACAGCAATAACCGGCGAGGCGTATGCTGCAGGTTGTTGCGGTAAGGCTGGTACTGCGGCGGGCACTGCCGCCGGCACAGAAGACTGAGAAGGCTGAGCTGGCCTCTTGGGCAGAGTTATAGGCACAGGGGCTGTTGTTGCGAGAGCCACAGCCTTCTGCGCTGCTCGGTCTTCCTGCTTTGACTTCTCCTTGGCCGCCTTCGCAGCCTCCATCTCCGACTTGACTTTGGCCTCCTTTTCCCTCTTGTCGCGTTCCTGCTGCTCCTTTTGTTCCCTTGCCTCCTTTCCTTTTGCTCGCGGGCCTCCTTCTCCTTGAGACGTGCTTCTTCGCGGGCCTTCTTCTCCCGGTCCCTGGCCTCTCGTGCTTTGCGCTCGTTTTCCTCTCGCTCATGATTGCGTCGTTGGCGTTCAGCTTCCTTGCGCTTTCGTTCCTCCTCCTCCGCCTTCTTCTGAGCCTCCTTCTGTTTCCTCTTTTCCTCTTCTCGCTGCCTCCTCAGTTCTTTTTGCCGGTCTTCCTCGGCTTTCTTCGCTTTCTCCTCAGCTATCTTCTCCTCTTCACGGCGTGCCTTCTCCTCGGCTTGCTGCTTTTTTTGCCTCGCCTGCCGTTCCTTCTTCTTCTGGGCCTCCTTCTGCTTTTTGACCTGGCGTTCTTCGGTTCGCCTTATCTCGGCATCTATTTCCTCGAGCAGCATGTTCTGCCGTTCCCTAGCGACCTTTTCACGGTATGCAGTGAGTACCCGCTGCTCGAACATCCTGGCAGCAAAGATTTGAAACATGCGGCGGCCTTCTTCCATGCGCTGCTCCTCAGTCATGGTTTCCTAAACGACAGATTAATAAGTCAACACGCCGTAAAAAGGGGCTACACGTATAACCCATACCTCTTCGTCCTGACTGTCATAATCCTCTTCGTCCTCGTTGTCATATTCGTCATCGTCGTCGTCGTATTCGTCGTCGTCGTCTACCTCATCATCGGCCGGCGGGTGATAATGGGCATTGCGGTCGGCGCCATTGGTGTGAGGGAAGGGGCTAGTAAACTGCTCCCTCGCATCCTCCTCGCGAGCCATGCGCCGCTCGGCGAGCTGCTCCATCATTTCGATGAATTTTTTGCCGTCATTCTTCAGCAGGTCGTCGGCAACGGTTAGGATCCCGCCTAAAGAAGATGAGCCATAAGCGTTATTGCTAGTCCCCGGAGAGGGAATACTCTGTAGAAAAGAGGGAAGAATGGGGAATCTGTCCCTACCCTGCACAGTCAGGCTATTTCCGAAATTAAAAAAGTCTGCCGGGTAGTCGGACCGGTGCAGTTCTTCTGAAGGCTCATCATCACTGTAATCATCCTCCTCCTGCTCATCCTCGCTGTACTCTTCCTCAACCTCTTCCTCCTCGTCATCTTCGGCACCATGGTCGACTATTTGCCCATGTGAGGGCTGGTGGTGACTTGAATAGCTTGTGGGGAGGCCACGCGGGCGTATACCGGTCATGGAGCCGAACGAGGGGCGTCGCCCCAACATCGGAGGCGCTTCGCCCTGGTTGGGATGGTTTGCGTACTGTTCCAATTCCTCGTAGTAAGCATCGTAAAGGCCCTCTAGCTCCTCTTCGATAGCCGTCCGCTTCCTTCCACACACAGTACAACTGCATGTGTGCTTCTGCTGCTCCTTCATCTTCTTTAGCACAGCGTCCTTCTCGACCCTGACGAGATCCTTGCGTTCTGTCTCGCTCAACCCCAGCCAGAATTCTTTGATGCGCTCCCGCTCCTCCTGAGAGCTGGTGTTCCAGATCTTTTCCTTGGAGATGCCCGAACGCTGCTGTTGGGACAAATGGGGCGCAGGGACGTAGGCGTCATGGTGAGGACTATGCGGCGGTTCGGTTGTAGTTTGACCAGCATTGCCCTTTTTCTTCTTTTTCTTGGACTTTTTAGAACCGGAAGCCGCCCCTTGCGCAAAGCCATTCTCGTGGGTATTCGAAGTATGCGAATCTCTGTGGTCATTGAACTCTTCTGGACGCTCATCGTGGCTGTCGTCGTGGTCGGCCTCTGTGGATTGTTGCGCATTTGACGGGGAAGGGCTCGGAAAGCCATTCAAGGGTGCTAAGTTGGCGACGCCTTGGGTAGCAGCCGCTTTTGCCGCAGCTTTTTGCCGCCGCTTTGCCTTCTTCTTGTTGACGGGTTGCACCTGTCCCTCCACCCGACCTTGACCGTGACCTTGTGTATGCGAGGTAGATGTCGACTGTGGACCAGGAGCAGCGTTCGCAGCCGTGGTGATCGTCGGGGACGGCTGGGCCGAGTCGGTTGGGGTTGACCCCTTGGGAACCGTAATGAACTTGGACCCATCTTTGTTTGTGTATTTTGCCGTGGCCTTGGAGGTGGGCGACTGCGGGGCTGGGGGGTCGCGGTGCCACCGAAGGTGACGACTGTTGCCCTTCATGGTTGGGGTACTCTGGTTTCAAGATTAAACGGCGCGAGCAGGTTCGAGGATCGGGCACATGTAGGATCGTGCGATGGTATCGGAGGGGGCAAAGGGTCCGGCCGAGAACTAAGATGAGGGCAAAGTAAGCTCCAAGCTGAGAGAGATGTGAGGCGGGTGGGCCACGGCACCACAGGTCGGATAATCGGGTGGATAACGAGATGACTGTGTGGGATAAAATGCAGAGTATCAGGACGTGAAGGCAAGCACGTAGCTCACGAGACTAGAGCAACGGCAGTTCGGCGCTGTCACAGTCGTCGTGGTTGGAAAATAATGGAATGTAAAAGCGAGTCCTGGTTCGAGCTCGAGGCACGGAGTGGACTGGATTGGCTGGCGTGACTAGGTAGGCGCTGGGAGGGGTTATGTATGTACCACCGCTAGCTGGTGTACCGTAGCAATGATGTACCTCGCTGTCGCAGTCTTGGCCAAGGAAAGGCGTGAAGGGATGTTCGCGGGGAGTGATGGTCGATGGTGGGAAAGAGGGAGTTCAGGTCGGTGCAGATGGTTCGAGCACGGTAGCTGAGGCAGGTGGAAAGGTAGGTAGAGAGGTAAGGTAGGTATGATGCGATCTGAGAGATCAGCGACTGGGGGACCAGGCGAAACTCACCTACAAGAGAGAGGTAATGGAAGGGTGATTAATTAACGATAGGCACGAGGCAGCCCACTACTAGAATACTGTGTAGCCCGGGACCAGAAGGCGCGCGTTTAGATGAAAGAGCCGGCAGCGCAGTGGCGTCGAGATAGGGTACCTGTAGTCAGGGTAGGTGCCAGGGGAAAGAGGGACAGCCTCGACCAAGCAAGCTGGAGGCTGGAAGAGAGGCGACCAAAGAGGAAGTGGAGGTTACAAGATACTCGTTGTTGGGACAGGGCACCTCATGAAAGGTCAGGTCAGGTAAAAAGGAAGTGGGTTGAAAGGTACAGTAAGGTAGTTGCAGCAACAACGAGCAGCTACCCAGCCAGGCCTGGAGACGATGCGATTGGAACTGTGGAAGTGGAACGCGGGACCGGCAACTGAAATGATGCACGGCCAGTGGACGATGTGGGTGGACGTGGATTGATTGGGCGGCCAGGGCGGACAGGGTCGGCAGCCTTCCACTTTCCCCTCAGCGAAGGTGGCTCCTTCTCCTCTGCTCCAGCGTGCTGTTCGGATGTTTTCAGACGCCGCTTCCCTGCTGCGTCGCGTCGGGGCTCCTGTGTCTTGTCTTCAAAGCTGGGTCGGGGGGCCTCAGATCCACGGCATTCATCACTTTTGAGTTCAGACAGGACCCACATTATCCCGCACCATCCACAAATGATAAACAGCGAGGCTGGCCATCACGTGCTGTCAGCTTCGACTTTCAAAAGAACCCATGCCCCTGGTGACGTCGCCAAATGACGCTTTCGTCCTCGAATTTCCACTCCTGCACTAGCGACAATCTTATCGATAAGTCGCCGATGACCTACCTTTACTGGTTTGTTGTTAGCTGCAGACCTTGGGTCAACTTCAAATGTTTCTACAGCTGGTTGATTCGTTTCAATCTATGATTAAAGCGTAATCTTACCTTGAATATGTTACTTTGGACCCTCGACATGTCATATTGGACCTTAATACGCCTTGTTAATCCGTACGTTGCCATTCTGTAGTGTTCTTGTAGAGTTTTGAGACAGTTCGGGATACCGTAGATCTCGTCCGTCATGCCAGGAGTACCAAGCTAACAAACAAACCGAGTACTAGATTGCATCTCACCACCGAGGTAGATGTCCAGCTTGAACGTTCTCATGATGGCTTGTAGGCGCTCTATGAATTCGTTATTCGGTTGTTATGTTCTAGCATGTGCGGTTTTGGTTACCTTGTCAAAGGGGAGTTTCTCACTGGACTGCTCATCAGCACCGACCACTGAAACATCTTGTGCCGGCGAATACGCACAACGTCCTTTCCGTCTCAACCCTCCTTGAGTCTCGAACAGCTTTGACAAGCTGTACTCAAGTTTTCATGGCCAAAGATAATATTGGCCCAGATAAAACAGAAGATGGCAGAGATGTTGAAATCGTCTTTGGGGACCGGAAAGCATCTTCTGCCAAGAATGCAGGGTTAGGGTATTTCCCTTGGTTTGTTTACTTACCCCTGAAACATCTTGTATCAATTAGAGCGACAACGATGGAGATGAAAAACCTTTTGGCTCAGGGCCTAGTCCTGTCGAGGAGCTCAACACTGATGTGACAGGGATTAAATTGGAAATGGTTGAATTAGGGGAACCGGTCCCTGCTCGACATGACTTAAGAAATCGTTCCAAGCCCATGATAGCCGTACTCACCATAAGCATAGTGTAGAGGTGAGCATTCCTAGACCGTCACGAATCTGGAGATGATGCGGGTGCCACAACGTATCTTCCACTACGTAAATCCATCAAGTCGGGCTGACCATGGTCATGGTCTGCTACCGTATCCCAAGATAGGATACCTGTGTTCGGTGTCAAAAGGGTATACAAAGCATAAACTCAGCTGGAACTCCCTGCTCACCGAACGGGATTGTTGCCCGGAAAGGAACAACTGACCAGGAATCGTGAAGGACAAATCTCTTGCCCCGGAAAGTAAGTTAATTTTGACTGGCCTGACTGGTCGACAAACTGCCGGCAATCGGCGTCTTGGGAACCTTCATGTTGGATTCTCGATGCTGGGCTCCGGGAGAGTGGGTAGTGGGCAGTGAGCGGCTCACGGCTCGCTTCAGCCCCGAGCCTCAGGGGTCGTTTTCGGAAGCATTAATTAGTGCACAGCCTCAGCACCGTTTAAGCTTCAGCGCCGCCATAACCTATCAGAAACGCTCGTTGCGCCCTGGCATGCTTGACGTTCGAGCAGCGCGCGGCCGTTTATGGCTGTGATGACAAGCACAAGCTCGAAGTGGAAGCGGCCCACCCGTCAACACGAGGTAGGACTGCTCTTTTTTTGTATCTTGCCAGCATCCCGCATGGGGAAAAGAGTGACGTTCCATCACATCATGAGAGAGTCTCGTGAGAGGCAGAGAAGACTGCGCAGATTTACAGTAACGGAATGTCCAATTGTAGGGGATTGCTGGAGGGTATTGTAGGACGACGGTAGGATGTAACAGACAGCTCAGGACAGCTCCCATACATCCACATCCTGAATTGGCTGTTGTTATGAAGGGTCGTCAATGGCATCCTGAAAAGGGAACCAAGAAAGCAATCAGGGGCCCCTGGATCGCTAGAGTTAGTGGGGCCACGCACCAAGCATCGCTACGTTGAACAATCTGATGCGCCGTGCCTGGGAATCGTGAATTTATGTGTGTCTCCCCAAATATCCCCAAATGTGTCTCCGTCGCGGCGACAGGGGTCGGGCCGACACCAACCTGGAAGCATCCCAGGCTGGCCGAACATGAGCTTTGACGAATATCGCCGGTCACTGTGGTGTTGACTTAGACTATGTTTGTCGCTGCTGTGGTGAATGAGTCTAATAAAGTACCGTGGTCTCGGTTTGAACAAGCAAAGGGCGTAGGCTATGGTACCCTTTCCTTCTGTACGGTCTTGGGGTCAGCAGTGGTGGTTGGGGTCATGGGTCGTAAAGATTGAAGATAAGAGTTGAGGTGAGTGAGAGTCGGGTGGAGCGCCTGGACCAGGTACCGTTTGGAGTCCGGCGTTTTTGAGGCCTCGCAGTTTGTTTATGTAAGCCGCCGTAACTCGTCCCATCCCGTCAGTTTCCTTTCTGAATTCAATCACAATGGAACAGCCGAACTCCTTCATAGCGTGAAGCCCCCCGTCCTTGATCAGCAGCTATCAACCGTTGTTTTCCCCTCAAAATTTCCCACGAAACCAACACCTCAAGTCCAAGTCCAGGATTCCAGGCAACCAGTTTACGGTCAATTCCACTTTTGTTCCATTGTTGCGGACTCCTCACTTTCCACTGCTAGAGGTACTCGTCTGCTGCTTACCAACCTTGCACTTCCACTTATCACCTGGGTTACCAACGACAGCGACCGGGAACACTGACACTGTACGCTGGTCACTGTCCAACTACCGCTATCTTGACTTCCCGCTCCGCTAGCCGTGGTTGCGCGCGCGACTTCCACTTCCACTGCAGTTCCAGGTCCATTTCCAGTTCCAGTCCTGGTCCTTTCATTCTAACCCAACAGAACCGTCACTTTTTTTTTTTTTCAACCTTTCCACCTTTTTCTCCTCGTCTCCAAATTGCTCACCAATCCATCCCACCCGTTCATCCAATTCTGCCTTCAACGCAATCGAACGCGCGCTCTCCCGATTGAATCGCTCGTCTGCCTCTTGGCCTCTCGCAAGCCTGCCGGTACCTCCAGGTTGACCGCCCATCTACCGCATCTTTCTCGTACCTCTCTACCCCGACATACTCTCGAACCGACCCCTTCTCATCCCAACTGCTCGTACAGTTGCAACGGCGACGACTCCAATCCCCGAACGGAATATCCCGATAGATCTTCATCGATAGCAATTCGAAACTGAACAAAGCAAGCGCATCGCCTACCACACACCGTCGACAGCACAGAGACCCAGGGGGCTCGAAGTCCTCTCAGGCGAAGTGAGCTTGGTTTGGACAAACACAAAAGGTTCAGGACATATACAGCCATTACCCAAAATGGCATCAGGCAGCCCTCAGAATGTCATCCGCAGGTAAGCCATCACCTGTCTGCTTGGGCTTTGCGATTCCTGAAATCATGGGAGATCTACGGGAACGAATCAGTCCGACCCAGGGCTCTTTGAGTGACCCAATTTGGAACACCAAACCCCTTCCCCCGCCATTGTGCTGCACCAGCCTTCAGAACAGACACATACCAGCAACTGGTTGCCGCGCCAATCTGCAGACGCTAATCCTCCGTGTGATTCAGGAAACTCGTCATCATCGGTGACGGTGCTTGCGGAAAAACCAGTTTACTCAGCGTTTTTACCTTGGGTTTCTTCCCAGCCGTAAGTTATTACATCCAATCCTGCATACACATCTGCCTTTCCTGTCACCCGTATCTTGAATCAATGGCTAACGTGTACCTGCGCGAGGAACAGACATATGTGAGTAGAATCCGTTGGTGAAACCACATGCGGCACGGGCCTTCGGTGTCCCCGTGCCCAATGCTTCCTGTGCTCTTGAGCATATTGCATCCACAGCCTCCACATACAGTCGTACCGACAGTCGCTGTCCATGTTCACGTTGCGCTGACCAGCAACAAAATGAACAGATTCCGACCGTATTCGAGAACTACGTTACCGACTGCCGAGTAGACGGCAAGTCGGTTCAGCTAGCGCTATGGGATACAGCCGGACAAGAAGACTATGAGCGATTACGGCCACTAGCATACTCGAAGGCCCATGTCATTCTAATAGGGTTTTCCGTCGACACGCCAGATTCTTTGGACAATGTTAAACACAAGGTGGGTGGTTAGAGTGAGGCATATCGTTCCAGAAAATATGCTAACCATGACCTTTTCACAGTGGGTTACCGAGGCCAATGAAAGATGTCCTAACGTTCCCATTATCTTGGTTGGTCTCAAGAAGGATCTTAGGGGAGATCCAGTCGCCATCGAAGAGATGCGGAAGCGATCTCAGCGATTTGTGATGGAGGACGAAGGCCAGAGGATAGCAAAGGAGATCGGCGCCCGAAAGTACCTGGAATGTTCCAGTCTTACCGGAGAAGGTGTTGACGACGTATTCGAGGCAGCCACGCGAGCGGCGCTTCTAACGTTCGAGAAGAAAGAAGGAAGCGGGTGCTGTGTGATTCTATAAGGAGCAAGGGATGGGGGACCCATTCGAAGCCTGTCCATTTGCCATCCTTTATCTCGGACGATCCTGCGCAAGAATCTGAGAACAAGCGCGGCCGCAGCCGAGACAAGCACGGTCAGATTTGATCCACGAATGACTGGTATATTGGCTTCAAAAATCGAGAGGGAACGGCAGCTGGAACCAAAAACCACTCAAGGCTTCCATTATGGCTGGGAAGAAGAGCAATGGCCGCACTCGCCTGGTAGGAGGACTCTTCAGTTTGAACTCTCCGCACCTCAGCAGACGCACGCGCTCTCTCCAAACTCACTGAAGCCAACTTTGGCGGGTCCGACCTCGCCTCACAATCCCCCCAACATCAACCTTGTTGCTCAGCATGGCATCGAATGTCGGGATGAAAAATGAGCATAATGATCCACATGGGTTTCATTTTCATTCAGCCAGATGATTAGCAGGAGTTAGGGACGCGGCTCGTGAAAAATTCATCCAGCCTTGTTCTCAGACATATCTTATGTATTAATATGGCTTTAGACTTTCCTTCTCTTGTCATGGTTTTCTTCCTATCAGCTAACCGAGCAAAGGGTTTTGGATGACTTGGGCAACAAAACACAACGTGGTTGACACAAGTTTTGCCCACTGGGTTTCACATCTCACACCACCAGCGCAATTCAATTTTGCGGCTATTGGCGAAATCTAGCATCATCTGTGTTATTTGGGTGTCAAAAAGGCCAAAGAGAGAAAGAAGTCAATGGGGATGCCATCTTAACTTTTCTATCTCAAGTATCTATACGAACCGCGGAGATCTGGTGCAAACTAACTGGAAGGGAAAGGGGGTGGAAGGGAGATTATGGTTGGGGGAAGAGAAACAAAGTCATCAAGGACGGAGGCAATCATCATTCTTAATCCGCAAAACATGTTGCAAAGGAGTTAGAACTGCTGGTCAGATACCGATTCTATGCGACTCCAAATTCCATACATATCAGCTAGCGCTGGGAGATCACGACGATTGAGTGAATGGTGAGCTGAAATGTTGCTTAGGTTTGGCTGAGCGGGCATATGCATCCCCGCCCTGTCATAGCTGTGAGTTGACAGCTTCTTGCGCGAAGTTACAGAGTACCTTAGGGACACGCAACGAGAAGCATGAGCCAGACCCCGACGGAGATAAGCAACGACTGGACATCAAGAAACTCACCATAAGTACTTTATCATGAGGCATCCAGTAGTACACCTCTAGCCATATGTGGCTGTATTGCCTTGCTTCCTACCAAGCCAGACAGATCCTTATACACTTTACAAATACACACGCGCTAACAGGCACATACGTGGCTTAGCCTCGTTGTGCTGTCCCGGGGCCTCGTCGCTAGTTTTCTTCCTTCAATTCCTTCCAAAACCACCAGGTTGCGGGCCTCAAGACTCTCTCTCGTCCATTGACTCGACAAACATGAATCTCGCCCTACGGTTCCGGTCGTCCTCGGGGTCACAATATGTCCCCCGTCCGTTCCCAATCGTAGACGGACGGACATCATGGTCAACGCCCACAAAACCAAAACCAGAACCAGACGG